TCGGAGAGAACCGGTTCGATAGCCATGCACACCTAGAAAGCGAATATACGCAGACTCGGCGGAAAAGGGGGGCCATATTACGTATCCACCTACCTAATATCGACGGTAACGTCGTATATGTGCGACTGCACGTGTAATTAGTAGCGATGGCTGTGAACTGGAATGGGATACCGCGTTAAGGCGGTGAACAGTGAAGAAGGCAAAGGGTTTCTTCGTCTGTACACATCGTTTGAAAAATGCCAAACTGGTTTATCGCGCTCGTATCTCTGTTTACGAGCCAATTCACGAGAAATCCATGCACTTTCTACTACTATTTTTTTTTTACTCCTTTCATTCGAATTGTACCAGATATAACTATCCATTTAAAGATAGCTTCGAAATTGATCTGCCAACTTGGAAACTTGGAAACCTCGATTCAACATTTTTGTTCGAGTCGAATTAAAATTCAAGAATCGAGTAGCGAAAGTTGGATCCGTTGGATCCAAAAATATCGCCGCAGTCCAAATAGAATCCTTCGAAGCATGGCGCATCGGGGGTTTGAATGTTGGGTAGACCAGTGGAAATTATTTCAGCAGGATGGATGCTTTTTCTGAGCGTGTGGAAGCCGGGCTACCGATAAAACCGTTCGTGTTCTTAAATAACGATCCAAGGCGGGTCGAGGCGAAGCAAGCTGGCGGCGAGGCGGCGTATAAACAGGATCTCGCGGAACTTTGATCGGTGTCTCGAATCGGGTTAGCCGCGTGGCAAGGTGAGACGAGACGGAGCAGAGGTAGGACGCGGCGCGATGCACACGGTGGTTCGTCGGTTGGTTGTCGATGGATGGGCCGCGTCACGAGCGTGAATCCCCCGCTTGGCCCCACTTTTCCTTTCTCTGCCTGTTGCCCCACCGGCCACTTGCCTATTCATCTTGGTCCGGTGCTCCTAATTACACGTCTCGGGTTACGGATGAGAACGAACGTCCCGCCGTTCGGAGACGTCCTGTGCCCTGAAAAGGGGTACCAGTACACTCGTGCTTTTTTCCACGCTCTCTTCCTCTCTCTCGCTCTCTCTCTCCACCATCGAGGGTCCTCTCCTCTCTCTCTCTCTCTCTCTCTCTCTTTCTCTCTCTCTCCGTCTGCGTCTTTTTTACACTGGTTGCCACTAAAGGCCCTTTGTCCGTGGCCCGGCGTGCGCGGTTATTTTATACTCCGAATGTTATTCAGCCTCGGAGTTACTTGAAACTCTTTCTCTCTCTCTCTCTCTCTCTCTCACTCGCTTTCGGTTTCTTTACCCGTGGCCGTGTATACACCTCTCTTTATCCACGGGCGCTGTTTCTCTTTCGTTCTAAAGTGTTTCTGAAACCGTGACGCCACGCGCAGTCGGTGAACGCGCGCGACGAAGAAGGTCGTTGGGAGCGGTTGGGAGGGGGGTCGGTGGTTGGTACTACTAAGAAAAATTGTATTAGCCCTTTGATCCCTTCGCCGGTGGAACGACTCGGAAGAGAGCGAATAAAAAACAGAGGCAGCGCGTAATGCAGCTATTTACGCATAAAGGGCGAGAACGACGCGCTTTTCTCCGGGGAACGGGCGACACACCGCGACAGGACGACCCCTTTTCGTTTCCAAAGTTTCCACCTTTCCCTCTTCCTTCCGAACACCATCGCTTTTCTAGACGTTCTCGCCTCATAAAGTTCACGAATTATATATTCTATCGAAGAGGGAATAGAATTGCTAGAAACGCGTAAACGCGTGCATTATTTCGTTCCTTTAAAATTCCTCACGGGCTTCCTTCGAGAAATTGTTCTCGTTCCTTAAATGTAAACGCTTGCAGCAATGGAAAATATTCGAACAACGTTCTTTATTAACGGAAACATCGAAGGAACACGTGAACGCGATAATCAGAGAGACGCAGCTAATTCGAAACGGGGAGATCGAAAACAACGCGAGCAAAAGAGGGGTCGTTAGTTTTCGGAGGATGTCATCGCGACAAATAGATAGCGTATCGTTGCTTGATAGCGGAATTTCCTGCG